GCAGAATGTTGAACATTTGATGATCCTCATTGTGTGAGATTTCTGCTTTTAGCTCAAACGTAGATGGTCTGAAGCAGATGTAATAACCTCTCCCAAGAGAGCCACTCTTTACAACACTTGAGTCTGGATTCAGGATAAAATCCAATGAAGGATTAAACTCCCCAAAATAAAACTCAGTCTAAGAATTTCCAACATATTTTGACTTAGTCTGATATCAATTAAAATGTTGACTAAATACTGGGGGAAATTTGAACCTAATTTGTCACAATAACAAGTTTTACTGACAATAAATTGTCCCAGAAGTAATAAAAATTAATATTGTTGTTTTGAGACCATTTTCAAGTAACATAATGGTGATGGTATTATTATATTTAATAAATAAACAAAACAAACAATGAATACAATAAAGTACAAGTCTTCGTAAACAAAATTGTTCTATCAAAAAAGGATCAGATCAACGCACCAGACTGAAGACTTTGGTAGTACAGTTTATAATAGAGACACAAAGAAAATGACTAATGGTACATATGGAAGGTATTGAGTTTGTTTCAATTTATTATGTGATCAATTGATTTATTGCTGATGATGACAGGCCTGGGCTCTATGCAGACTTGTTCATCCATCAGTAAATGATAAAACATACAATGAAAAAACGTTCTCAGTCATGTTACCTTTCCCAAAAAGTAGTTTGTGTTTCCGAGCAAATCCACTTGGGTCGTGTAATCTAGCGTTTCGATTTGATTCCAATCATGATTCGATTTACAAACAATTTTTAATTCAGAATCCAATTTTTCTATTCAAACGGTCTGGAGATTATGTGACAGACAGGAGGAAAGTACCGTGCAAACAAAACATTTATTCCAAAAAGCTTTATTCTATAAGCAAATTTTTAAGCAAAAATAGGTTTATGCATAAAATACTGTGACTTAAGTTACCAGTATTAGGTTGGCTTAGTAGTCAGTTCATCACGATTGATCTGATCAATTGTTTCAGCTTCAGAAATTACAATCTGCAGGCGTCACATGTCACTTTCTTCTTGATGACTAAGGTTACATTCAATCAGTAAACTGTTTTTACTCATGTAAAAACAGTTCCAAGTTTCAGTTTCAATTGTCTGTGAATGGGATTCTTTCCTAGTTAAAACAGCTATGAAAAGTTTGCTGCATTCCTGACAAATGATGACCCTCTGCCTTATGCATTAGATTCTGTAATTCTGTAATAACAGGCTTCTGCAGTGCATACTTACTGATCCACAGAACAGTTTTCCTTGTAGTTTTCTGTAAAATCACTGCATGCGAGTTTATTGGGCAGGAAACACTGAGCAGTTCTGATCACAGCCAGCTACTACACAGCCTGAAGCAGACAAAAAAAAAAAAAAAAAGAAGAAATGGTTGCCGCCCCATAGCCAAGAGGGGAGAAAGTACCAGCTGGACACAAAGCTTTGGATCAGCACAAACAAAAATGACAGACCACAGTGGTAATAGAAAAGGAGAAAAAGCCTGAACATTGGCTGATTATGGTCTCCTCTGTGAGCCTCCTGCCAGCTTCAGCAGGGAGGAGATTGAGATGTGTGGCTTTCTGGAAAACCTAGTGGGGCAGCTTGTGTTTTTAATTCCTTTCTTGTTGTTGACTGATAATAAGTCACAGAAATGTTCATTTGTGGTGGGGGGTCCTGATGGGTGCAGCCTTAGTTTAGCCTTAGCAAGCTAATTATAGCAGCCAAGCAACAGAAAACTGGTCTGAAATGACTCTAGTTTTACTGCTTTATGGCATTTATAGGCTCACAGTGAGAGGGAAGTAATTCAGTTTTCTGTCATTTTCACACTTGTAGCGGTTTTCCCTTCTTTACAAGCCTCATTCCTAAATTGTTTTCTCTTGTTGTCACATATAAAACAAAATGAATCCATTATTTTATATCTTATCAAACTGTGTTTGCCTCCAGATGAGTGCTTCAGCAAACACGGTAAACTGACCATAAACTCCAATTCAAATCACATTCACATATAACAAGATTATGGAACCTGTGAAATTGGTTTTATTTTTTCCTAAATTCCACTTTTTCTGCTTTTACTTTTTTTTCCCATTTTAACCCAAAGCATATTTAAATAGGTGTGAATAATAAAAAGAGAATAACAAGAACAACAACAACAACAAAAAACAGCCACAAGTCAACATTTACTGTTATTCTGTTACAAAATAAATCATCAAGCTGGGTTTACAAGGTGCTAAAAAGTGTTTTTTCCCATCATCAGTGCCCAAAACACTACAGAAACTCCTACATATCTTTCCTTTCTCATTCTGAGTTTTATGACTGATTTAAAATTATAAAATTTCACTGTTCTGTCTGGTTTTTCCTCAGTGATAAAACTTCTGAAATACAGTATGGTATGATAGAACAGGGTAAAATATTTCCACTGATAACAGTGTTTTCTGTACGTTCTTGGTCTCCAAATAGTACAACAGACTCAACAAATAGAATCTAGCATCAGATTAACAAAACAATTCATCTCACTTTAACACAAACTGAAGGTGTCTGCTGAATATTTTGTAAAAACATATTTGTTCCACTTACTCAAATAAGTTTTACTCAAGTAAAAGTAGTGATATATCACAATGCTTTGAAGTAAAATTTAAAAATACAGTGCAGTAACACTACTCCCAAAAGTAATTTTTTAACCTGATTTCTTCCTAAAAATAAATTATTCAGAGTGAAAACTTTTTAAACTAAATTGAGTAATGAACTGAACTTTATGCAATGTTTGATAAATTCTGGTATTTATCAAACATGTGTATGTATGATTTAATTGAGTTTAAAGTTTGAGTAGACATGTTTTGAATTGCCACAGTGCATACACATAAAGTGAAAACTGAGTTGTGAAGTAAACAGACAGCCTGTGACAGACATCCTGCTACCAGACACAGCAGGATTATGAACAGCATAATTTTCCATCCATCGTCAGCATACGTACATATCTGGGTTTGAGAGCATGACTCAAAATAGTTTGTTTTAAAATTACTCCTTTGTCTTCAAAAGTAGCACACATTCAGATTGTGATGGGTATATGTTGCATGTTTCATGAGTTCTGGACTTTTGGCAGGTAACAGTCTGATTCTGCGTTGCTGAGCTGCTTTTAAAAAGCTCTGTGTCACTTTGATGAGTCTTTTCAACAGAATGACAGCAGTTTTTAGATCTTCTCTGCAGACTAGTTTGATTTTTTTCCCACCTCCATAAAAATCTGAAATATTTAGGCTCAAGTTTTCAGAGAAAAAGCCTCACAACTATTAATAAAACACTCTCTATAGTTATTGTTCAAGTAATGAGGTTTTACATTTCATAGACTGTCATCTTCTTTGGTAACTTTCTTCCAGAAAAACTCCTTTACTTTGCTCTCAGGCAGAAAGAAGCACTGTGAATAACTCACTCCAAGCTTTTATGGGCTTCTCGTTCCAATAATCCAAAAGAACAGTCATCTCCGAGAGAGTGGCTCTTTGTATGAAGAGCCTCACTCTTTTAATAATAGCACTGCTGCGAGTGAAAGCATATTGCCATGAATGCATTTTCTTTATGAATATGACATTTTCTGAAATGTCCTTTATTACAAGTGAAATGGAACAATTAGTATTGTCAAATGAGAAGAAACTAGCAGCAGTAACTAGGGAAAAAACAAAGATATGCATATGATTCATAGGACGCCACCTAAACTGCATGTTTTTTAAAAATATTGTAAAATTGAAAGTCATTAGAAAGAGAAATTGAATATCTGATGCAGATACCATCACAGGTTGAATTGATCAATTTGTATGTAACTTCAGGTTATTTGCTGCTCAACAGAGATTAGCTCACAAGCCGACGTATGCACCCCATCTCTCAAGGCCTCAAGTGTCAAGTCGTACTAATTAGACTAATAGGTAAAATTTCAGTTTGTTTTAATTTGAATCAGAGTCACAGCTTGAACAATTTTTCCTGGAATAAAAACTCTCCCTCCTGTCTGGCTAACAGCTTCAGGTGTCTTCCTCCTTTTTTATGCTCTGAGAGAAATAAAGCCATCTGGAAATTAATTCTACACATACGATTACTATAATTGTACCATGAAAATGTAAAAGTATTAAACACAGGGAGATAAAACAAAGAGACTCGCTGGCTTTGAGTGAAGATTAAACCCATTATCACTGATGAACGTTAATGTTTCAGGTCGGGTGTTGATGCTATCAGCAGACATGAGAATAAAAAAAATGGGTGCATAATTCTCCTATGTATTGATTTAGCCATCTCAAGCTTAGATTTCTATCTACAAAATTAAAGTGTCACTTTAAAGTTGAGGTGTGCATAAAAGTAAATCTAAATCCTGCAACATGATGACAATATCTAGTCAGGGTGAAAATGGGGAATGTACATGAGAAAATGACCAAAGACCCCTCAAACCTGAGCTGCTAATCTTACACTATATTCTAGCCTGAGCATAAAACCTGCCCTGCAAAAATACTGAATCTTAGCACATCAGTAGAACAATGCAGAACGATTCCTCAAACATGCATGAGGCAACCAAAACACTCCAGGTATTTTGTCGATGAATGCATAACACAAGAGCGTGACATTGAAACTCAAAAACCCAATTTTACACAATACTGCCCCTCTGACATTTTAGTGATGGTAGCATTCTGCAAAGCTTTTATTGTGATAAAGTATTTTTGAGGATTGTGTACATATTTTTCTCATTTTTGAGTAAAGTTGTAGTTTTCTACAATTTTTTTGAGCCTGCCTTTGAGGTCCTCAGCATCACTGAGGTGTACCTGCGCCACAAAATGAAATGATACTTACTGCTGATGGCAACTCCAGAGAACCAAAATTACCAGAACAATTTTACATAATATGTGCAAACTCTCACATTTTTCAAGTCATAGTGATACATTTCTGAATATTTCATCTGCTGTGGTGTGGCCGTAATGTCTGAGCTGTTTATTCATCTTCTTTTCAAGAAAACTCCAGTGACTAACACAGCCAGTTTGAACAATGCCTTTTTTTTATTTTGGCATCTTTGAAAACTACTCCATGAACGGCAGTTTCTGACTGAAGAGTAAAGAAAAGATGGGAAAACGAGTGGGCTGTCAAGAAAAGAAGGTACACAGTGTTCAGAGTGAAAGCACAGCGCTGAGGGGATTGTTTTTGGCACAGCCCAGGTAAATAACTTTAGGGTTTCGTTCTGTGTGTGTGTTTTTATACACCTTGTTGGATTTATGTAGTTTAACAAGTAGGTACAATCTTTCCTGTATCAATTAGTTTACTTATTGTTTACCATGTCTAAATAACTGACTGATTAGTAGAACAAATCCTGCATGTGTAAAATTTAAACTTGTGTTATTAGCAATAAATTAAACCTAAACATATTTCAGTGGGAATGTTGGAGTAAACTACATATGTGCAAGAACAATACTCCTCAACACTGTGCAGATGTTTCTTCTGCTTTTTTCCCTTTAGGTTTTCAGTTGGAACGTTCAGCGGAGCAGAAGAACCAAACGTAGCTCATACAAGCACAAATTTACACACAGCACTCTTAGAAGGAATGCAAAGACCTCAGCACCAACGTAGGAAAACAAAAACATCTGCAGCTTTGTGATTGTTGCAAACATCTGAGCTCAGCTGGAGACACGAGAACATGAAAAAAAATCAAAACAAGCTTGTTCTCCACAGGCCAGCGTTATATACACCGCTGAACATGAATACCTTTTTTACTTTTTGCGAGTACCTTTTGCCCTTTTAGTATAAAAACATGTACATAAAAAAAGGCTTCTAAAAGAGCAACGTTCCTCTTTAACGCCGCATCACCGCATTTCTGTTTATATTATTTACATTCACAGCCCTATGAAAGTCTATTTACATGTATTCAAAAAGGAAATACAGCAAATTCAGGTTGAGTTTTGTGGGAAAATATATAATGTACAGTGACAGGAGACAGAATCAGAAGTTGGCACACATTACAAAGAGGGAATACAAAACACTGAAGATGCTGAATAATTAAATTGTGTCATATGAAGGTGGTGGTAACTTTACTTATAGGAGTAAACTTTAAAAAAATTTAGTTTATGTTTATAGTTGGTCCATCTTCTGTCCAAATATACTAGAAATATTCCTATGTTCTTGACCATAACTTATTTTTGAAATAAAATAAAAAAATATTATTTTGCTTTGCAACAGGTAATAAAAAAAATAGATGTAGCTTTTCGAGACCAAATGTCTTGTATATGGGTCATTAACAGTAGTGGACACCTCTAAAAACACAATTAGCTGTGCTAGCTCTACAGCACAAATCATAAACATTAATTCTGATAAAGTGCTTTCAATACTTTATTTTAAAAAGGTAGTGCTATAGCACTAATTTAAATTCTAATTATGTCTGGCCTTAAAGGGCTACAGTCATCAAGCACCAATTTAATTTAGATATACTTTACATGTTCTATACGGCCCTTAGATATTGTAGTTATGCCTGTGTATTGTTTTCTATTGTCAATATTGTATTTCGTTTCTGTTTGTATCTTGTTTGAAATCAGTTATATGGAGAGAAAAAGAGAAAGAACAAAAGGAGAGGAAACAGAGCATCTTCCACCCCTTCAAAATAAGAGAATGAAAATGGCTAATTGCTTGAATTCTTAAGTCATTAACTAAAACATTAACACAGATGTCGACCTAAATTAGACTGAAAGTTTACAAAATAGCCAAGTAATTTAGCTTTCTGGAATTTCTCCAGAAAAATTAATTTAAACATTTTAAAAGTTAGCAAAACACAAAGTGAAACATTAGCTCCACTATTAGCACATTAACAGATTAATGGAAGTGTGCAGAGAATGATATCTGGTTTAGATAGCCTCTGTCTTCAGCTAGTTTTAGATCAGTGTTGAAAACTTTACAGCAGTTTTCATCCACACCATTTATTTGAACATCGCTTAACGTTGGATTGATAACCAATATGGTGATATAAATAGCTACACAGAGTGAGGATGCCATCTGCAAGTCTCTTGTAATGGAAAATCATATCTTTTGTCACAAATTATTCATAAATGTATAAAATATAACTCAATGTTTGGAGTAGGACATCTTGAAGATATAGAAACAAAAATCCATTCCTGCTACAAATCTGAAGTATTCTTGTACTTGTGTTGACTGTCTTTTGGTAAAGCACCCAAGCATCTGGATTAGCTTCATACATATGTTTAGTTTATGGTGATTCAAAATGGGATCTGTCAAAAAATATTTTGATCAAATCAATTCTAAAATGATTCATGTTATTAAAGATACTAACTTGCATCAAAATAACTACAAAATGAGGCATTTTCACCTCCTGTCCATGTTTCATCTCTAGTTGGTTCACAACTTTGCACAATGCAGCTGCAAACAGAACTCCACCCCTTCCCTTCCTCACAGAGAGACTCCTGAATCCCAGCAACTGCTGGAAGGTTAAAACACATCATATGGCTAGTAAATCAAGAAAAAACCTTTCTCTAAAGATCAACATTAATATGTTCTAAAATTAAATCCCTTTTGTTTGTCTTAAAGTGGTTTTCATCTGTTTTCCAAACAGTTGTTGAGCACATTACATACACACCTTTTTCTTTTAATAATAATAATAATAATAATAATAATAATAAATTTCATTTGTAACGCACCTTACATTTCAAAGAAATCTCAAAGTGCAACCAACATCTATGTTTCCTTTCTTTTAACTGCAAACATTGACAAAAGCCTAATCTTCAATAAAGTGATTTTCATACACTGTTATTAAAACTGTCAACTAAAGTGACTACTTTTTTCACCATCAACAGAAGTCCTTCATATCTCAACAAAAGCTTTATTTGAACATACGGAGTTTAAAAAAACAACAGCAAAGATGATCAAATAAGTTTTTGTATTTTTTACTGACCAATGCTGTACTACGTGGCACATTTTTGACACATAATTGTCAAGCTTGAGTTTTTGCCTCATTGTCTGTTAACCCTTCACCTGTACATGGGAAGTTTGAGTATTGTAATGGTAATTTAAAAGCTGAACATTGCCACAATACTGCCAATGTTGAGGGGGTGTTATAATCACAAGAAAATGGAGGTTTGCAAGTTAAAATGTACAACACAATTTATAAAACATCTTTTCTTTAGTTGGATTTCACGTGTCCAAACTCTTACCCAAGAATTTCATTAGCTTGGATCTTTTTTTTAGTTATTAAACAAGTTAGTAAAACTTCTGGAAAGTATATCTTTACATCACCTGTGCAGAATTTAACAAATTCTGAAGACTATAGGTGGACTTTGAAACATGTTTCTAATGACAAAAATATATTTTAATGTATTCTTAAGGTAAGTGTCAAAGTGTTTAAAAATAAACTAATACAGTTTGAACTCCACACTTTCACATGATTGCCAAGTTAAGCTTTAACACAATATTTCAAAACCAAAAATATAACTTGTAATACACAAAACCCACCATATTGTTTCCCCTATAGCAGTCGGATGTGAGCGTCTCCAGTCGGAGGCGGCTGAAGGTCTTTGCATTCGCACACAAGGAAAAGGTTTGTGAACTGGATAAAAACCAAACTAAAATCAGACCATGAAGCTCATTAATGCCAAAGAAAGTTTGTCTGATGTGCTTCTTCTTGCCACGAGTGCATTGACATAAGGCACAGGCACAATTCCCCTCTTTCAAAAGAGTGGTTCAATTTATTTTTTTAAACTTACAGTGCAAGAAACCAGTAGGGTGATCACCACAAGAGTTCAGGCAGCTAATTTTACTCATTTATAGTGTTTTAAAATCAACATAATGTAAGTTTTGTGTCTCTGAGCAGCCTGGTTGGAAAATAGATTTTTGTTAAAAAAGCAAAATGACAAAACAGCTGTTGAGAGTTGAAAACACACTACTTTACATTAGAATTTTACTAAAATTAGATATATTTTCAAGATGTATGACACCTCAGGGTCTAATTTCTCTGCAGCATTGTGAACAATAATCACTTATTTTAATACTTGATTATTTAATCAATTGGGTGTGATTGATTTGTTCTTAACTGGTTGTGTGATAAAAGACATTTTGGATAAATGTGGAGAACAAGACAAATACTGAATATTTTATGCACAAAAACCTTAAGAAAATGTTGTAATTTGATTGAACTTAAGTTCAATGCTCAGACTTTGCAAATTTTGATGTGAAGGTAATATGGCCAAACTTAGAAACTGTAAATTTGTATGTGCAAATAAAAGCAAATGCAAACACAGCAGCTAAAATATTTCTCAATTGTTTTGTAAAACCAAATTTAAATAGCAAAGATACTTGACCTGTTGTCATGGGTGATTACCCCAGTGGTTCTGGCACTGAGAAGGTCCAGGGGAAAAAAATGGAGTAGATCAGTGTCTCTTATAGTAGATCTCAGAGGAATTTCCTCTCCATTTCTGTCAGGAGAAAATACTCACTGCATTTCTACGTGAAGTGTTTTCTGTTTGCTTGCTATTAATAAATAGCTGTGTCATGTGAGTCATTTAGAGTCAAGCCATTACGATACAAACATCAACCTCATATACTTGTCTCTATCCAGGGAAGAGCAAAAAGTGCCATTCTGTCCTTCTGTATTAAAAAGGTACTGAAACCTGTAATTTTTAGAGTCTTGTAGAAGTTAGGGAAAAATATATGTTCGCACTGAAATTTGACACCTCTCAGAAACCTTAAAGCAAACTTGTCCTTATTGACTTTTTAAACACATCAGTAGAAGCTAAGGTTAAAGCGTTTTGATTGAAAAATGACGCTTATCTGTTTGTCCATTGGCTCTGGCAGTCTTTGTAATCGCCATTGACCTAGAGGCAGACAGCGTTTGTACACTGACCTGCTCTGTGTGTCATTCCCCCCCAACCAAATATCTTATTTATAGTTGTACAAAATCCTAGAGTTGTAGTCCTAGAGGCAGACGTTGTTGTTGATCTGGCAGGTGGATCCGGCGCCAGCAAGGGACAGAAAAAGTCTCCCGTTAGGACAAACGCAAACTTCATAGACAGTCTGCCTAGTCCCAGAGGACGAGGAGCTGGAGGAGGATTTTCCTTCTGGCAGCCTCATCAGACGGATCCTCTGAGCATCCAGAGCAATCTGGGTGAATGGAGAGAAATCTGGTGAGACTATAGATAAGTGTAGATTGTTTGACATCAGAAAACGTGATTGACAAAATCTTTTTTAGCATAGTTACGGTTACCATCAGAAGTTTACATGCACCTATGCTATTTGCTATCCATTCATTGAATACCTCTGTTCATGTAATAAGTCAATGAAAACACAACATTCTGTCAACCTCCAACTTGTCATCTTTATTATCTGAGTTTGCACCTGGTTGTTATTTACATGACTTGCCTGGTACTAAAAAGAGTGTTGCAAAATCTACTAATTTCACCACCCAAAAAAAACTCACATCATCCCAGGACCAAAATATTTTATTGAAAAACAAATAGTTTTTCAAAATGGCCTTATTTCCATTTTGAAATGTCAAAAATACATGGTCAATGGAAACGCAAGTTACTGACAATGTCGTTTCCTCTCAGTTTACAAAAAAATTGCGGTGAACACAGGATGTTATATACACATAATGTCATGATCTGGGCTCAAAGCACAATGCTCCACTGCAGAGTTATATCAAGGATACAAACTGATAACCTCTTTACAGACAATCATCTCTGGATTAAGGACTACTGGTAAAGATGTTTAGTGTCATATTTACCTGTCAGGTAAATTTTGCAGGAAATCAGTGACAATATTGAAGCATGAGAACAAATCAATCAATCAATCAATCAATCAATCAATCAATCAATCAATCAATCAATCAATCAATCAATCAATCAATCAATCAATCAATCAATCAATCAATCAATCAATCAATCAATCAATCAATCAATCAATCAATCAATCAATCAATCAATCAAATTTTATTTGTAAAGCACATTTCAGCAGCACGGCATTTCAAAGTGCTTTACATCATAAACACAAAGTCATGCAAAATAGAATAAACAATATTTTGTCACATATTACGTTTCAAATATAATTCTAAACAGGTGTTTTTTTAGTCGAGATTTAAAGGAAGTCAGTGTTTCAGCTGTCTTACAGTTTTCTGGAAGTTTGTTCCAAATTTTTGGTGCATAGATGCTGAAAGCTGCTTCTCCTCATTTGGTTCTGGTTTTGGGGATGCAAAGCAGAACCAGAACCAGAAGACCTGACAGGTCTGGCAGGTTGATACAACAACAGCAGATCTTTGATGTATTGTGGTGCTAAACCGTTCAGTGATTTGTAAACAAACAACAGTATTTTAAAATCTATTCTTTGAGCTTCAGGGAGCCAGTACAGGTGAAAGGTACAATTATTTATATTCCAGACAAGCCATTTGAAACTAATGTTACCGTAATGTCACCAGTAACTTGGCTTGGTAGATATTTGCTGGACTAGGAAATCTGTGTGAGTGGCAAAGAGAAATCACATGCTAAATTGTATTTTTGTGTTGAACATTTTGTGATGGCTAACCCGGGTTTCAGTAATCATTCTTTAACTAGGATGAATTCAGATTTATTCAGACTAACTTGCCCCTACAAATCTAAGCTTATGTAACTACATGGGGCCTGATGAAGAATCAAGTCAAACAAGCCTTCACGGCATCAGAAATTGCATAATTGTCACAAATCTATCCTCTGAACTCAAGGTGAAATTAATTTAGATCCACTCACCTAAAAACATGAGAGAGCATTTTATTCCCATAATGATCAAAACAAACATCTCAACACAGGAAATGTAGAAAGGCTGAGTGGCGGCTCAAGACTGAACCCACCATTCGTCCTTTATGCTCTTCATCGCAAACATTATTGTCAATTTGAATATTATAAAATCTTCTACACAACCACTTGCTTTAACAAACAACTGTGTTTAATACACAAAATGGGAATGGTATTTTGTGTATTAAACTGGGTCAAAACCAGTTCACATGTTCAATTGGCCAAATTAATATTTTTTAATAAGAAAAAAGGGATGGCAGATGACATGATCTCAGTTTGGAGAATCAGAAATAAATGATCAAATGCAAGTCAAGCAGACAACTACTTCAAACATTAAGGACAGAGTTTATCTTTGAATCAAGAGCAAATTTTTACTACCTAAGATGAATTAATCCTCCAAACTTTGCTGTATTTTTAGAAAGTAGTTCTCTAAGGTGACATTTTTAAAGTTAAATAACACTTCCTTTAAATTCCCAGACAGTACCTTTATGTGGTCTGCAGCTGCATTGTCTAGACTTATTTGATTGACAGTCAAATTTCCCTCCAGATAAATATTACTACTGCAAAGATGAATCAATCAAACTGCCTGAAGATGAGAGTAAAACTGGTAGCATCATATCAAAAAGACTGGAGGCTTTAAACACTGACAGAGGTGGATGGTCAAAGTGAGTGATCACTTATCTAAATGTGATTTCTTGATTTTCTATTTTTAATAATAAGTTAGGGTATCTGAGATAACAGATTCATTTAATACAACTTGGAATAAGTCTGTATTGTAACCAAATGTGGAAAAAGTTAATCGCTGTGAAAACATCCTGGATGCACAAACAAAAATATATTTAATTCTCTATTATCACAGAGCCACACTCTACTGAATCCTATTTTTGTTTTTTTCTCAATCGTGGTGGAGTTTACCTAACTCAGGCTTCGACCAATAAGAAAAAAGGTCAATAACCATGATTCACAAAAGTGTTTTTTTTTTCTTTTGTTTCAACAAATATTTGTTGGATAAAAATCCAAAACAGTAAATCCCAAAATTGCCTGCAGTTTACTGTTGGTTATTTCTCCAGAGCAACAACAGAAAAAGCACCCCAGGTTTTCTCTGCTCCCCTCCCTTTACAAACACATTTACTCATAACTCATTTTATCTCTCTCATTGATTGGAACAAAATATCTTTCTCAGTCTGTGCAGTAAAAACCCACTGCTGCATGAATCCAATCTCTCTTCCCTGTCCTCCTTCTCGGTCTCCTGGGGCTCGTGCCCGGCCTGTGTTTTACTGGCCACAGAGAGGAGGAGCTCTCCAGCCATAAAACGAAGAAGTAAAGGAGCTATTACCAGGAGCTCCGGGGAGGCATCATCAACAAATGACCTGGAACCCCTTTTAAAGCTGATTCTCAGCTGACTTTCTCAGGCAGCTGCTGCTGAACAAATCCTCACACCACAAGGGGCAGATGGAACAGGATTCTCTGGGAATTTGTGGGTAAAGGAGGGTAAGAGTACATGTAGATCAGCTCAGTAAAGCATTAATCTAAATGAAATATTTTACTTTACTATTCTTTTGAGTTCATAATCTATATGTCATTTATTACGCTGGAAAATTCACTTTAAAGTACAAAACTTAAGAAAGAAATCTCTGAAATCTAAGACCAACATGGTGTTATTAATTCATTCATGAATCAGATATAATATATTTGTTGTCCCATCCATCCATCCATCCGTCCATCCCTGCTCTAATATGATTTTTTTTCTATTTTTCTATAAATTAATTGTTTAAAAGGGAGAAATGTTAATAATAAAAATTACTATTAACCCTAAAAAAAGAGCCCTCCCTCCTCTCAATATATTTTTTAAATTTACACCACATCCTACAGACAAGTTTTGTGTTGTTTTTTATGACAGCCTGCACCTTCTGGGCTCTGTCTAAATCAACTCAATTAGACAGAAACTTTTTTTTTATTATCAATATTTAGATGATTACATTCGGATGGAGGATACAGCCTCAGTCCACACACATGCAGAGTCTGTCTAATTAAAACTTGTTGCAGTCTGTCTGGACCGTTTGCATTTATCTAATGAAGACACAGACACGTGCTCGGCGGCCCGTTAACGAGCAGCCGCGCTGCGTTTCCGATAATTTCAGTATCTCCTCATGTGGCCCGTCACCGGATAATAGCCAAAACCTTTCTGTAATTGCGGCAGCAGCTCCCGCAGACATGGAGGCTGCAGTGTAAGACAGAGGTTTGACAAATGGACATTTGCTGGACTAATGGAGTGTGAAAGCGCCGTTCTAATTATATGCTCTGTTCACAAGAAGTTCCAAATTTAATCTTTGAGCACGTGTTTGCTTCTGCTTTTAATTGGACCAGACTGGATCCAGGGTCACCTTCATAACCTCCACTGCTCCCATTGGTCTCATGTCAGCAGCTTTTCCTAAAAACAGCAAACTGTTTTGTGGGAAACTTTTAAATACTTTCTTTCTCCCCTAATCCTCCTGCGTTGATGTTCACAGATCTGACAAGGGATGACTGCTGAAATGTACGGAGGGAAATCCTTTTATCAGGAAAGATGAATGCCAGGCTGATGGGTGTAACAAATCGCTGAATGGTTGGAGGAACTCAGGTTCACAAAGGAAAATGATGGGAGAATTAGAAAGATGCTAAAAAAACAACAAGTTAAATGCTGGAGGTGCTGGAGTAAGAACGGCCGGATTCGCCGCCAAGATTCGCCGTAACCATGGAGGAATAGTTAAATGGAAAATAACTAGTTATTAGCACATGGAGGAAGAAAAAAGAGAAAGAAATGAACTTCTTCTAGTTTTCCTACTTTTTTGCACTCCTGGTGGACGGCCAGTGAGCAGGAAAATTGCCAGTGGCCATCTTAATAATGTCGGCCCACATTGGCTCAGAGAGCTAAATATTATTGGTGTTTTTGCTAAAAATAAGTTTGGACAGAAGGAATATTAAACTGAGCAGGAGCCAGAAGACAAAGACAGTGAATTTCTCCTCTTGCTCCAATAGAGTGGGAGGTTTTTCCATCGACAAAGAGCCGAGTGGACCTGGCTGTGCGGGGAATAGAAAGTTATACATAATATTTCTGCTCAGTTCCTGGACAGCGGGGTGGAAATGACATGAAAGATCATGTGACTGTACTGCAAAGATTAAAACATCAAAACACTATCAAATACAAAAAAGTTCTACATTAAGCAGCATTCACATTCTGATGTCCAATCTGATTTTTTATGTCTGATATCAGTATTTTGTTTTGTATTTTGTGTTAATATTGTGCATTCTGTCTGTGTGTCAGACTGCTGGTGCCTAATAACTTCCCAATTCTGGGATCAGTAAAGTTCGTCTTATCCTATGTTCAAAACTGAAGGACTCTTGAAGAGACAAGAGCACAGTTGTCATCTAGGAAGCATTTCAGATATCATATCCTGAATGACTCAGAATGTAAACAAACATAAGAGAAAGCAAATAAAAAGATGTCCTGAGAATCTCATTTCTATTCATCATTCTTGACGTCTTTTTATTCAGTTAGCGAATTTAGCATCCAAGCAACTCTAAAGTCCATTTGGAAGCTCACCCACCTCTCCGTCTTTGGACTCCAGCCGCAGCTCATTCCTGCAGATGGCCTGAATGTCTCCGGCCTCGGCCAGTATCTGGATTCCTTTTGGGGCCTCCATCAGTAAAGAGCGAGTGGGAGACTCCAACCTGCAACAACACCGCTCTGTTAGAACCTCTGGACAGGTTCAACCTCATCTCTTCAAAATTTATGCATTTATCCAACAAAGCATAAATCAGAAGGAGAAGCATTCAATAGAGGTTACCAAGAAAACAAACCTAGTAAAGATGTATGTTCTATTGATATTGATCACGTGTCTTTTGCGACATATATTGTTATAGATTGTTTGGCAAATATCTAATATTTTTTTAGTTAATTTCATGTTTCTGACATTGCTGTTTTGGATTTGCTTTTTATATTTTGAAGTTATTTACTTTTCTTAGATTTAGTTTGGGTTAAATTTTTGGTTTGTTGTCTTGCATGTTTTTCTTTTTTTTTGTTTGCTTTTGAGGTGACGTTGTCACTCATAACGCCCATTGCAGCGGCACAGGTGTTCTCCATGAACTAAGCAGCGTGCAGAATGGGAAATAAAGAGGTAGTGGTGCAGTTGGAGCGACAGACGCAGCCGGACTGGTTACAGGTTTAGGAGCCTCAGGGCGGCGAGAGGAGGAAAGGAGGACTGGTTACAGTGGAGAGCCATCCGACTGGTCGCCGTCGAGGAATGCACGACCGGGTACTGGAGTAAGAATGGCCGGATTCACCGCCAAGATTCACCGTAGCCGTGGAGGATCGGTCGGCCGGCGATGAGAGGGACTGAGTGCTGGAGAAGACCGCGCCCCCATTGGGCTTGTTAAGAGTCCATTTACAGACCATTACATTGACTCTGTCGCTCATTGTTGCCTACATCTGTTTTTTTAGTGACTCATCTTTTTTGTTAATAAATTATTGTAAACTTTTGTTTGCTCATTTAAAACCCTGTCCACAGTTCCTGCAGTTTTGTTTATTAAATCTACCACTCAGGTCCCACAGTTGCCTTAGTTCAACAACAAACAGTTAAAAATGCTGGACACATTACTATAAATAAACTCTGTTAAGCTGTTTAAGAAAAAGACGACAGGCACTAAGATCTTAGTTTTCTATAATGAAAACTTGGGACAGTTGGGGGAATGCAAAGATCAATGTCAAAAGCAAACATCATGAAAGTGAAAGAGGGCAACCTGACTCACTCACCAGGCAATAAAGTCTGAGGTTTGACTGCTCTACTAATGAACAATGAAAGGTAAGTTGACACGTCTGCATAGAAGCTCCACTTTGCTGGTCATTAACCGTGATGATAATCATAATCCTGCCACTCCAGTTGATAATACTGACTGTAAAATGACTGTTGGCTCCCTGCAGTTTTTTTTTCCTTTTTTTTTTTTTGGCTTTAATTTACATTAAGAGTTGGATTTTCACTCAGGTTTCAAACCCAGGATGATTTATGGATTCAGGTCGCATTAAAGCTGGCCTGTTGAGTAGTACAAAGGAAAGTATGAGAGGAGTGGCAGCCAAAACCCGGTGGGTGAACGTCCAAATTAAATTTATAATCATCTTCTATTATTAACCTCTTGCTCTCTCCCAACAAAGAGGTTTAACACTTTATAACAAGAGTTCTTGATACTGTAATGAATTAAAACATGTCCTACAGAGATGTTTTAGTGTTCAAGTTTAGGAGTTTACATCGAAGTGAAATGTTTTTTTAATAGTTTAGTGATCTGGTATTTCTGGGGACGAACTGCTTTAAACTACCAAGGGCCCCAGCTGCAGGGGCTAGGAACCACAGCAATCGGTGAACAGCTCAAATCCGTGGTTACGGATTTTTTCAATAGGCAGTTGAAAGTGAGACTCCCACTTTTAACTGCCTATTTTAACACTTCAGACACAAAATATACTTTAATATGTAATATACACAGTCAAATCCATGCTATTAAATCAGTGAGTAGGTGGGTTTTCCACAAATAATTTGAAGTTTAGCTCTGCTGAAAGCTCGGGATGCACAAATCCACATGTTTCACTAACAACACTGATATCTGAGGTTTGGTGTCAATACTGATCAATACAAAAAATCAGTGCTGAATTGACTTAAAAAATACTATTCAAAATAAAGTTCTTTTGAAAATATGGACAGAAATGTACTGAATTACTAATTTATTTGACTCAGAAAACTATCTGATTGTTCAACTTATATTTCAGGATCTACTGCTGGACTTTCTTGCCCAATAAAGCTCCAGATCTTGATAAAACGTCAAATGACTGATTTGCTGCCTCAAAAAAAGAAGAAGAAAAAAAAAAGACAGAAAGAAGCTGGACACTGGAAACTAAAAAATTAGTTGGACTACTTCAAAAGTACCAAAGTGGTATTTAGCAGAATGCTAATGTTAAAGCAATACATTCAACCAAGTCAATTTCTACCACATGCCAATGATGCAATGTGCTATATCGCCCTCTACATGTCAAAATTGTTATTGCACACCTACCTGTATCGTTGAGATTCTGGAAGTGATTCTTTGCAACAAACATTTCATATATTGTTTCAGATTTATTGTTGTTATGTATCACTAATTCGGTTGCTAATTTGGCTAACAAACATGGTGGGCTTTGGTCATAAAGCATGCAGGACATCAGTAGATTGAAACTATTTACAGCATTTAGGACAAGAATATATATAATCTGCTGCACCACATCATGGCTGCAGAAGATGCGATAATGCTGGGTAAACAGCCTTCACCTACTTCAAAATAAAATCATGAATACAGGCTGAAGAATTCTTAAAAGTTGATAATCAAAACTTCAAATGAACTCTATTCAAATGAAAGTTTACGAAACAGCCAAGTAAATTATCACTTTAGAATTTATCCAGAAGCGCCAAATGAAAAGTTAGCTCCAGCTTTAATACATTAGCTGGTTAGCAAAAGTGTGTTTACTACTGACGAAGTATTTTTTGCATCTTTCAGAAAATCAGACATAAAATAATGTAAAAATACATCATTTGCTGAGTTTGACTTCTGAAGACAAATTTTCTTTGGATCAGCTGATGATGTGTGTCAACAGCTGAATAAAACCTTTAAGCCTATACCTACACTATGTAGGCATGGTCTATTTAGCATATCATTTATCATTTAACCTAAGACATCTGGTGATCATGTGGCAACTATGTCAAAACACCTTACTGCTCTACAAGTTTGTTCCTCCTCAACCGACAGTTGCTTTCTTCATTATGTATAAGGAAATGTTTGAAAGCAAACAAAACAAATTTGCTGTTAACATTCAGAGAAGTGCCTGCTGAAGAAAAGGCCTGCCACTCTCATCTTCCCTAGTTCTTTAAGGTTCCTCCTCTGGGAGTCGACTGTGAATTCTCTCTCATTCATTTCCTCTTCACAACCCACATGAATTCGATGCACGTCTCTTTTTCTTTGTTTTTGTTTCTCCTCCATTTTCTTTAGTTAGTTTTTTTTTTAATATCAAACAAAAAGCAAGCTTCTATCTCTTGTCTACCTGTTTTATTCAATGTTTCCAGTCTTTTCTACCTAGTGTAGGTTTATGGTTTATTGCCATGATGTCATTTGTGTAACTTTTACGACAGCAAAGCTCATTTCCTCTCAGAGATCAATAAAGTTCCATCTTTCTCTCTGACCTGTTTTCTTCTCCGCTTTATTCCTTCTTTATATCAGTTTTTCGCGTCCTCTTCCCAGCCACGGCTTCGTATCTACAACCAGGATCGAAGGTTAATAACTTTGTGCTCTTCTTCCTCATATTGTTGGTCTTTAGATAACGGTGAAAGGTTTTTAATGCTGCAGATAACGTAGATGTGCAGCATGTGAAACATGCGGCTTTAATGCTCCCTGCCTTTGGCTAAATGTGACTCCTTTCTCCTTGATTTGCAACTGTTACCTGCAGTTTGAAGTGCGGGGTCGTAGTTTAGGTGTCATGTTAGCTTTGGAGACGCTAACCAGTTCTTCCCAAATATACAATGCCTTGTTGCCATGACGACTCATCATAATAAATGTCTGTCAATCAAAAAGTAAGAGCAAAACTCCATGTAGCTACACAGAATTTAAACTAAAAGAAATTAAACTAAAGTCTACTTTCTAAAAGAGTCAAGAATAAAGTGGTGATGGCATTTAATCCAAGAGATAGGAATGTGGATGACAACCAGGGAAAGAGACAAAAGGTGGGAAAAGGTGAAGGAAACTAGCTGTAAAGCAACTTTTATTTAAACTGTGATTTGTGATGCAGCACCCAGGTGTCATTGTTAGTAAAATAATCTGAAATGCTTCTGTGCAGCTCTGTCTCCTGCTGTTGAGGTGTAGCGGAGAACAATAAACCTGCAACGCCGTGTTTCCAGGGGCTGAAGGTCGTCTCAAAGTTCTAACTTTTAACAGGCCGTGAAAAATATTCCTTATGTATTTATGACCTATCGCTCTTCCTGAAAACGTCATGCGCTTTCATAACAGTTTATTCAGTTTCACAGATTTCACCAATGAGAAAATAATATATTTTGGAAAACCGAACAGGAATGGACTGAGATATTTACTTATTTGAGTCTGGAAAAATACAGAAGTTAAATCTTAATTTGAAAAGCAAGTCAAGTTATAACGGAGATAACACTTGCCAGAAATAAAGTAACCCAAGAAAGTGCTGCTAAACTGTTTTCCCTTTTGTGTTTGACTCAGCTTCATTTCTTAATTGATTTATCCAACAGGGAGGCCTTTATCAGAGTATGATATAATATGAAGGAAAAAAAAAGGGTCTGCTGAGAAATAGAAAAATCTCCAGACTGAGATACTGTCAGATTAACAATAGTTTTAAAAAGACTCTGAATGTCAAAACTTTTTTTGTCCTTTACGCTCTTCTTAAGGAGGAAAATCACCACAAGTCTTAGCTCAAGCAAAAGAAAAAAAAAAGACTTTACATTGCATGATTGTCTTCCAGTTCACATTATGGCTTCATATATATTGCTTTTATCTGTGCTCAGAGTTAGTATGGAGATAAATCAAGCTGCATTATCAAATTCAACCACGCTGAAGTTTCACTTTCCCAAAGACGACTGACTGATGCAAGGACACATCCTGTTGACAAGACATTACCACGCAGATGGATAAGATGGCCATGGTTTCAATAAAAGAAGTGTCAGCTGTGGGTGGGACGTGTGTTTTTATGTGCAAATGCCTGGTGTTATAATATCCTCAAATGGGATTTGGATGCCTGATTGCTACCTGCTATGGATTTGCAGAGATTTGAGAACGATTAGATTGTGGGCTACACTCCAATGAGCTTTCACGTCTTTCCTGACATAATTGGCCATTTTTCATCTTCAACTGGCTGGCTGGTGCCAAAGATGTTCAAACTGAGGACAATGAAGGAAGAAAAACACAATAGCATAGATGCAAACTGTCAAATTATATAGACAATGACGAGACGGGTGTTTTGGAACGTTCACAAACTATCTGAACTTTGTTAATGAAACTTTCTTCAGAAATTACATGTTTGAAATCATCCCAAAAGGAAAGCAGCAGTGATTGATGACGATTGGGCCATTTCGATGCCCTCATTGCTGAATCGTTGTTATGTCTGTTATTGAAATGCTTTGTTTGTGAACCTTCAGGTCCAATATGCCAACAATAAAGACACATGACAAAAAAGATGCTCCAATATGTTTTTGATTAAAAACCATCAGCGCAGTGATCATATCTATTTTGTTTTGCTATGTTTAATTGAACAATAAAAGGTATCACATATAGAGAAAGAACTTTCTAGTTAATGGAATTAAGCACAGGTTATATGTAATGTTCCACATCATTATAAAGAAAAGAAGGATTTTTTTTGTTTTAATTTGCTAAATTTAACCATCATGCTATCCACCTCACGTGAGTAGATGCATTTCCACTGACCATAAAATTGCACAAATTGGAATTATGAAAATTAATTTGTAGAATGGAACCAAACAAATTTCAAAGACGCTTTTGATAAAAAGTTTTTCTAAAGATATTGAAACTTGTGTATTTTGCAAAACTGAAAATTAAACACTTTTTTGCATCATGCCAGCTTCTATACAGCAATTGCGAACTGGTACAATTTGCTGTCTTACTGCACTGCTTTAGACAAATCATCACCTTTTGTGAAATCTGTCAAGTGGTGGCAGTGGAGAAAGAACCACTGGAAGGAAATACAACAACATCTGAAGAAGACACTTCCTTCTTTACAAACTGTAAACAAAAATGAGGTGGTGTCAGATTTTAGTAGTTACAGGATTTCTCTTTTGTCATTGGTGTGAGACCATGAGCCATTTAACTTGCTAGTCTAGACTCTTGCGCTAGTTTTAGTTATAATTACACAGAATGCCCTGGACTATACTGTGAAATGGATTCATCCGTTTCAGTAATTGTTTTGTTTCTACCAGTGAAAAAAGATTTGGTTTATCCTGCGACACTGGATCTGTTTTAATGGTGTTCATGGATTTGTTTCTATCAGTTTGTAACATCTATTGTCTCTTTTGATGACTGTTTCAACAGATGAAAGCAGATTGTTTTTTCATTAAATTTGTTTCTACAGGTTATTGCATTCTGCTTGACATTCACATATGCATTCAAAACATACTAGAGTTCACTTCAACCGAACTCAGACCTGTGTTTTTAGGCAGACTGGAGTTTGCTTTTATGGACCGCATTAGAGTTTGATTATGCATTCACACCTCCTCACCTCCTCAAATCAACCAGGCTTTCTAGATAAATGATCTAAAGTAGGGTTAAACGGGGCTGGTGTAAAAGGACTTCAACAGCCTTTCAACAGAGTGAATTTGAAATAAATACTATTTTCTAATTTTCATATGATCAGGAAGAAATAATATTTCAGACTTTTTATTGTAATTGTCTAGGAAAACTATAATTGTGTCATAACTGAACTGCAACAACACAAATATAGAGGATATAAATGCTTAGACACACTTAGAAGTCCCAGCATTTCACTACACTCTTCCTTCGATGTTTTCTTATTCTTTCCACCCGACCATCCATCCATCTCATCCCTTTCTCTCTTTTTTTCCCGTGGGTTTCTGTTGCCCTGATTGACTGTCATCACAACTGACTGCACAGCTGAAAGAAAGATGATAAACAAGACATTTACATTAGAGAGAAAGTGCACATCTCACACTCGCTCATAAAACCTGTGCTGTAGGGGGAAATAAGCGAAGGGAAAAACCACACAGCAAGCCAAAAATGATTTGGAACTGTATCTGTGCAAAGGCTCTTCTACGCTCAAAACAAATTTCACCAAAAATCTTTTGATTGGTGTTATTGGAGGCAATAATTTGCCCCGAGAAAAGGTAGTGGACTCACATTTTTAAAAGCATGGCTGCAACATCAACTTAGGAGCTGTTGTTAGGTTGGACATTGTTCACTCGAAGCAGAAACATGAAGGTGTGACCAGGCTGCTACAAAAAGAAAAACACCCTAGTTGAGGGCAAACATAAACAAGGCCATTATGATTACTACACTTTTCTGTTTACCAGCTCCTAAAAACAGGATTTTACTGATTCAGTAATTATTTTGTTTTTAATGGTGTTGATGGATTTGTTTCTTTCAGTATGTAAGCTCTGTTGTCTCTAATGATGTTTGTTTCTATAAATGAAAGCAGGCTTGATTTGCTTTAAGAACCTCATATCATGTGAAACAATTTATTTTCTGACTTTTTAGTCGCTGCTTGTATCTTATCCCCTTTTGCATCTTATTGAGAAGGGTTACTAAAATGTTTGCAGTTTTGATTTAGAAACAACAGGCTCTTGATAATCCAGGAAGATGAAACAAGGATAAAACATCTGTTTTCAAAGATGAACCCATTGATCTCACAGACACACAAAAGCTGTTTTACACACTTCACTTGTTCGCTTATTCTGCCTTCTACATGGGTTAGACATTTAAGTCAACCGAAAGGTGTGAAAATCTGCAGCTGAGTAAAATGTGAACTGTTTATAAACCAACAACATTTGTGAGTTATTGGTATTAAGTTATTTATGTTTATGTGGGATTTATTGGCAACAAGATCAAGCTCATAAACAGTTTTGGCTCAAATATGGCTTCAAACTGATGGGAATAAAAGATTAAGCAGCCAACTAAGGTGGTGATTTAATTGGCTGTGTGTTTGACATAAGTCATAATGACAATTTCTTGCTAAAAATGTAATTTATAACTGAACCAAGGCCGCAATGAAAAAAGAAAATCTTAATGGTAAAAAAAGCATCCTGAAAACGACAGCAAACAGTCTTATAATTTTACAACACAATTTTTTCTTGCCTGTGTCTTTATTGCTGTCAATAAACTATTTTTACTGTTTGAAAGCAATATTCTCTCCTGTAATGGTTAATCTGGAGTGACAAATGAGGGTCAGCAGATAAGTTTTCATTTCTTGAAATACACAATGCAGGAGTCAACATCACTTCAGCATATTTTAGGCTGCTTTGTGCCTGTTTTACTGTAAGAAAATATCAACTATTCATTATTTTTAAATGTGTTGTAATATATTTTATTCTTGGTTGTTTTCATGGTCTCACTGGATACGAGTCTGAAGCTACAACTTCTGAATTACTGGCCCCTCAAAAGAAAGTATTGACCCCAAGAAAGACTAATTTAATGTCTATTAATTGTGTTTTCCTCTTATAGATTGGCTCAATAGCCCATAAAAGAAATATTGAGTTCATTAGAACAGAAAATGAATAAAGTAGCTACTTACTACTCCATTCAGTGTGAAATAATGTTTCAGTGTTCATGCAGCATTATGAATGTACCCCTTCATGGACGATGGGAACACAGTGGTTTTTGCTTCTAAAGAGTTCCACAGCAGCATGTTAGAGTCATACAAACAGACAGAAAAAAATTCCACCAATAAACTCAGAAAATTTTAGATAAAGCTGAAAAATTCTCATAAACAATTTGTGAGAAAAATAGTTAATTTCACACTCTTAAAAAAACAAAAACTTGAAAATTTTCTGAGCTGTTTTTTTTTTAATTTTTTTATTTTATTTTGGAGATCAGAAAGTTTTCAAAAGTTGGAAAAAACAAAGAAACAAACAAACAAAAAACAAAAACAATAAAACTTTTTGGGACACATATATTCTTGACAAAACTTTTTATCTAGTTTCTCATACAAGTATTTTGGTTCACTTGAATTAAAACAAAGATAACTTGAAAGTAACTTTTCAGCAAGATAAATCTGCTTGTTTTAATAGATACAAGGCGTTCTAGTTCCACTGGTTTTAAATTGTGTCAATTAAAACAGGAAAGATGTTATTATACATGAAAAACATGCATATTCAAGAATTATTGACTTAAAGAATCTCCTTTTTCTTGTTGAAAAATTAACTGTCTTATTTTACATGTAATAAAATATTTGCACTAGAAACTAAACAAAAATACTTTTGTGCTTTTGCAGTGTAGTTTTCTAATAAACAGCCCTCATAATATTTTCAGTGTCTTTTTTTAATCTGTTTTGTATCTTTATAACCTTTAACCATTTATTTAGAATTGTTTTATGTTAATTAGTGTAAAATAATATCAATAAAAGGCTCCTTTCCATGAATCCAGTCTTTGAGCAGAACTCTGACTCACCGTAGCTCTTTGAACGGCTCGGCCCTGACATGCGGCGTCTCCACAGATTTGCTGAACACTGCTCCTTCGGCCCCTGAAATCACAGAACAGAAAGTCAGACAGAAGGCTGCGTCAATTGAAACCACAAACCCCTTTTGTCCAATCAATGGATATAATCTGTTAGGCTCTGTCAATCTATACGGCTCTAGTCGGAGAGCACAGCGGCCCTCGGCTGTGCTCTCCGACAATAAGATGGGAGAATGCTCTTTCTCGATAATATGAGTCAACTTTTTAAAGACAACAGGAACATTTTGAAAGAAGGTTTGTCTCCAAGGCTTCTCGTATTACAGTGCTTTACTTGCTGGTAGTCAGTAAGCACAGCAAGGAATCAAATATATCAGAAAAACACTGAGGATCTATTTATTTAAAGCTATTCTTATTTTATTCCATTCAAATTGTTAGATAATCAGTTAATATCTTCAAGGTGTTTCTAATGTTGTATAAAACAAGAAAAAAAAGGTTAAATACAAAAATCTTCAGAATATGTTGTGTTTTTTATATGCGTAATCACTACACTGCAAAAACAAAATCTAATGAAGCAATTTTGGTCTATTTTTTCATTCAAAAATAGATACATACAAGTAACTTTTTTACAAAATATAAGAGCTTGTTTTATCTCAATAATTTCTAATAAAGTAGTTAAGTTCAGTGGAAATAGTTTTTATTCATATTCAAGGATTACTGACTTATAACAAGTTGATATGTGTTACTGAAAAAGTTGTGTGAGTAGGTTTTGTCTTATTCCAAATATGGCAAGATATTGTTCAAAATCACTTGCTCTGTGTCCTATCAACAAACTGGAAATAGGATTTTTTTTAGCCATAGCATTCATCTTACCACTCTTCCCTACATTCATGGTCATCTGCAACCAATAGTTGTACTTTTGACAGATTACCCTTTTAATTATTTGACATTTTTCTTCAGAAAACTGAGAATTTGTGGATTATTTCAAAAATTGTTGTACATTTAGACAGACAGTGAAATAAAAAAAAAAATACTTTTACTGTCAGTGACATTGAACTTCAGTGGTAACTTTCAACTCTATAGCTCTGCTAACTGAGTCTCACTTCAAATTTTTAGCTCACAACTATTACTCCTGTCTTGTTTTGCTTGATTGCAAAGAGGCACCATATAGCAGCACTGAAGAAAAACAAAACACACATAGAAGGTAATTGGCTGGCCCTTCATCCCGAGGCTCTGATTGACTGTAGTGCAAGTGCAGGCCCGCTTGGGATAAACCCAACTGTTCAGTCACATCAAATCAACTAAGCATCAGGTGCAGATCAATAGTCATGACAAAATGCAATTCAAAGCGTTTTGAGCTTTGAATGGCTGGGAGTCCAAACAGCCATTGCTCAGTGACACATTTAAGGCTTCAACAGTACGCATGATGGAAAAGCAAACTCTTGAGCGTGTTCTACAGTAATTTTTGACACATTTTCAGCATTTGCAAATTACACAGGAATTTAGTCCGACTATGTCACGTCATTTTCCGAACCTCTTCATTTTTACACTGTGCTTAAAGGAAGGTGACAAAAATGTTTTTTTCTGTCAAAAGTAGCCACGGACTTTCTTATTTGTTCACTCTCTTTTATTCTTTCATTTCGGTTTCAACTGTTTCTAAAAACTGAACAAGCACTTAAAACAACCAACAAAGTGGTTTTTGGAAATAAATGAATACATTTTTTGGTGACGGGAAAATTAGTCTTTTCAAAAAACTTTCAAATGTAATGTCACAAATCTTCAAAGCCCAGCCCCGTCACCTAGCAACTGAAGTGGACGTCCAGCATGTTTTGACAAGGCCATAGACCAGGGGTTCACCAACCAGGTCACCCGAGGCGACATTGTCAGTCGCCAGTCGAGCAACTTCTAAAAATAGTCATTGTCATTAGGTAGCACTGCCAAAGAAATTATTTAATTTAATGTTTTCACATTGAAGTATTAACTCTTGTTTATATTTATATATATTTTAAAGTGAATGATAAAAAATGTTTAAAATAAATTGCTTTATGCATAAAACTCTCTTCTATGATTAAAGTTCTTAACTATATGCAGACGCCTGCAGGATGTTATTGGAGGACAGCAGCGCCTGCATCTGTACGGCTACACCCTATACCTACCTAAATATTTTCCATAAAGTAAAAAAAGAATTTTTTAAGAAGTTTTTCTTATCGAACCCTCTTTACAATGAACACAATTGTAGAAAAAAAAAAAAAAGATCTTATGTGTCAAAACATCTACCGCACATGTGAGTCTGTGGGTCAGTTTGGTTTTGTATATTTACTGGCTTAGCGCTTTTTCTGTAAGCTAAAAATGAATGAGCAGAGTTTGATAGGTTTCGCTTCCATGTCTTTACTATTTAGCATCGTTGGAGTAAAAAAAAAAAAAGAAAAAAGGGTGCGCTAATCGGGTGGTTTAGCTTTGTGATGCGCATTGGAGAAGGTGGCTGTGCTCTTTGCAGGTCAGGTGCAGTGATAGTTTTGTGCGTTCCTTCTGATTTCTTGGACATTTTTTTCGACATCTGCTGGTGTCAGCCAAAGGGGTGACCCGTCAGCTAAAATTGACGGGTCACCATCATTTTTTGTGGTTAGCGAAACCACAAAAAAAAGCTAATAAACTGGCGACCTGTCAGAACCACGCACTGTAAAAAGTTCAAACTGATCTTAGAACAATGGGAAGTTCAAACTCCACTCATTAATTTTTAGCTCACAAGAAAAGCAAAATGATTAATAAGATTTAGGGTTTGGCATGCCCTTTACCCCCACAGATGCACACTCATGAGCACTACGTACAAAATGTTTTGGCACAACAAATCTTTTTCTTCTCTCCACAATTTTGTTAATAATAAAGAGGGTTGGATAATAAAACACACAATAACTTGGGTCATTTACACTTCATTTATCTATTAAAAAAATCTGACTACTTTATTAGTGAAATAAATTATTACAAATTAGCTTACTGTTGAGGATTAGTCAAATATTCCTCTCAGGGGGTAGCTGGAGGGTGCCACAAAGAGCAAATTTATTTAGCAAATTTAATCAACATAACCACATGCTTTGTTTTTGTTAAATTTACTCCTTTGCTGCAAGCAAAATGCATAGAAACTTATTTTATTCTGACAACAACTGGACTGAAGCGCTTTCTGGCAGAACATGTCTGACATATTTTGATGTTCTTTAATTAAACAGGTGTTTAATGGTTGACTTTCTCTGAACACCGGGGATATTTACAGTCTCACTCCTTTGGGGCGAGCTCTTCATAACACAGATAAACCTATCAAAAACAGGGAAATATAAAACATCTCTATGCAAATTTATGTTCTCGCTCACCCATGTGGAATACATAACTCTCTCCTTAATCACCCCTACAGGTGGAGCCACTTCTGTTCCTCTTTTAAATAGATTGAGCAAATTTTTGAAAAACGCCTCGTCAGTACAAGATGTAAATTAGGTAGAACAAGGTATGGCTGGTTAATATGTATTTCACAGTGCTGTAATTGACCAGACGGAGTGAAAAAAAGGCAACAGTTAAGTGTCAGATATATATACAGTACATACCAAAAGTTTGGACACAACCTTCTCATTTAATGGGTTTCCGTTATTTTCATGACTATTTATAAGGCAAGAAAGCTGACTGGATAGCTCAATACATAAGGCATCAGTATATCACCCGAGAGGGCGGGGTTCGAATCCAGTCTGGGTCCTTAGGCAAGACCCTTCAAGCTACTGCCTACCTCATACCATGAGAGATACTAAGTTGCATAACATGCCGGCTCAGACGTCGCCCGGCCAAACAAGGTCTGCGTCAGGTGTTGGGGAACCAGAGCACCTTGATGACAAATGGGCTACTGGAACAAGACGGAAATGAGCAAGAGATGAAAATGTGGATCTGTTGGAATGCTACTACTAAAGTAACCCTAGTGAGAGAGGTTACATGCGAAGACTGGGGAAGGAATGGTTACTTCGACATCCCCAGTCAACACTAAGCGCTAAACAACTAGTAGCTCAGTGTTCCAACATCCGCAAACGGCAACTGCTATCACAACTTGAGATTGACGAGATACAACACAAATGCTACGGCAAAAGGGAGGAACCCGGATGTCAGGACTGTGGGGACTTAACTACAAGTCCCCACCCAGTGAGGGGATACACGGCCCCAATGAGCGAAACAGAGCTGAACGAGACAGCTGCTGACCTGAGAGAGAGAATCATGACCCGAATGACAACCAGGCCTCCTCGGCGCCAATTACAACGGCTGAGTGAAGTACCATCAGAAAGTCTCATTGAATGCATCATTTAATGCAGCATTGAGAACGATCCCTACCAACACCATAACAGAAACCAACCTTGAGACACTTGGCTATAAGAGCAACCATGAGACCCAATACCCACCATGGAAAAGACGGTTAGAGGCTAAAATCAAGGTAACAAGGAGGGAAGAAGAAGGGAACAATACTGAAAAGGCATATGGGAAAGGGAGGCTGATCTCTCTACAAGAGGACCACAGCAACCTCCCTGAGCAAGCCCCAGTAACCATCACTGTGACAGATGTTCAAGAAAGGGTCTCAGGCATGAAAAACTGGACAGCACCAGGGCCTGACATGATCCATGCCTACTGGCTAAAGAAACTCACTGCTCTCCATGAGCAACAGGCAGCCCAAATGAATCAGCTGCTACAAAGTGGGACTCACCCTGAATGGTTAACTGAAGGGCGGACAATCCTAATCCAGAAGGATCCATCAAAGGGTCCAGTCCCACCCAACTACCGACCAATAACCTGCCTCTCCACAACCTGGAAGCTCATGTCAGGCATCATAGCGGCCAAGATAAGCAAACACATGGATAAACACATGAGCACGGCACAGAAGGGTATCGGTGTAAATAGTAGAGGAGCCAAACACCAACTCCTCGTAGACCGCACAGTTGCCCGAGACTGCAAAACCCGACACACCAACCTGTGCATGGCTTGGATTGATTACAAGAAAGCCTATGACTCAATGCCGCATACTTGGCTCATTGAATGCCTAGAGATGTG